AAAAAATGGATTACTAAACTTTATGTAAAATAAGGTTTTCAATCCTCGTAACCGAATTTTCATATCAGAGTAAGAAAACTGTATCTTAACGTTGTGTGCATGAATCGAATATAAATTTTCCTCACGTCCCAAAAAATAAAAAATAAAAAATAAAAAATAAAAAATAAAAATCCTATCTCAATTATTCCATATGACCACTGGGAAAAAAAAAATATATATATATATATCAGAACTGGAATTGCATCTCAGGAGAATATCCAAGAGCTTCAAGATGAGCAGCCATGGCTTTGTTCATCGGAGGCGGACCGCACCTCAAAATCTACACAAACCCGAAATTTCCAATTTTATTTATCTGTTTTCATATATTTAGTTTTTATTATTATTCTGAATGATTTCATGGAGCTTAACACGAACCTGAATATCAGAGGCTGGAGCAGGACAATAAGCCTGAATCATTTCATTTGTGACGAAACCAATGCCACCGTTCCATGTTTCACTAGGAGGCTACAAAAAATCCAAACGCAAACGAGAAGAAAATTAGAGAGGTGACCAATAGATAAAACAAGAGCAAAAAAATCATGATTATATAGGAGTTGATTTCAAGTCAGTCAGTCCATCTCATATTGAGGTATTATGAAATTTCACACTTGCATAAAATCACCAACTCCAAGTGTTAGAGGCTAAAGCCTAAAGGGATGGAAGAAAATAAACATTATAGCCGTATACAGGAAATAGGAAGCACATTCGTGTGGCAAGAAAATATATATATATATATATATATATATATATATAAGAAAATAGTAATTCGGCTAGTACCACGTGATAATGTCCAAGTGAACCGAAAAAGGACCACTTAACGAGTCTAAGCTGGAGATAATTTAAATTGCAGGATGAACTTACATGGTTGAGAACATAGTATATTTTGAACCTGCCGGGGTAGTTCTTTGCAAGACTATCCAATTCATCCTGAACCAAAATATAACAGTATTCATGACCAAATCACATAGTGTCTGTACGTCCAAAATGAGGAGTTAGCTTAACATGAGTGTCATCACATATTACCTTTAACAAAATGTCATCAAACGTAACATTAGCGTATATCAGGTGAACTTTTGTTTGGTCATTGGGATTTTCAAGAATTGCTCTTGTAACCTACACAGGACGATAGATGAAATCAGAAAATTAGTCAAACTAGTTTTTGACTGTGCAGAACTATGGAAATTCGAGAACATGAGCAAAAACAAATGGTCGTATGTATAATTGTTGCATACAAACCTGAAACATTGGCGTAATTCCTGAACCTCCTGCAATCATTCCGAATGCTCTCACCTGCCCTGGCTGATACTTAAAGCGGCCCTAAAAATGGTGAAAGAAAAGAAAATCTTAAAATGTAATAGGTTTAAAATTTTAGTTATTAGAATCAAATTCCATCAAGACACTAACCACAAAGAATTAAAGACTAACAAAAAATTTAATCTCGAAACCAAAGCCATAGTCATTCCAAGAGAAGCCATTTTTACACAGTAATTAAGCACTGAAAACTACTTGCGTAAATTATACTTAATGAAATCAATAAAGTGGTAACTAAAAACACTAGGTCAAAAAAGTGGCCTAAAAAGTCAATGACCAGCATATCTGAAGACCGATAACTCAGAATGTGCACATTTTAAGGCCATTTCACATTCTTGAAATTCGACGATTATAAGAATATGGCAAAATTGGGTCAATGAACATTATTTCCCTATCATACTATTTCACTGGACCAAGTGAATATAAAGTACAAAGCCAAATATATACAGAATCTGTAGAATATCGTTTTCAGGATCAAAAACTCGTGGTTATAGATGAAGCTTTCCTTTTATTGTGTCAACAGAGGCTTTCATGCGATCCACATAACAATTTTACTCTTTTCCTTCATTTTTTCTTTCACCATATTATTACCTAACAGCATAGGGGACTTCAGATAGTACCAAAATCGTTCATCAGCTTATATGTTTGTAAGATAGGATTGAACGAGTACCTTTGGTCCTTTCACAGCCAGATAATCACCTTCACGCATTTCTCTAAAATGATGGGACATTCTTCCTTGTGGATACATCTGGAAATGCCGTATCATTCATTTACACCAAAAAAAAGAATATGATAAAGAATTAAAAACTAACAACAGCACATAACATATACAACCAAAGTAAAAAGGTCACGGGAATATAAAAGAAAGCAACCTTTATAACTAACTCAAAATATCCAACATCAGAATCCAAAGTAGTCGGTGTGTAAGGTTTTACAACATCTTCACCTTGACTATCCTTACCCCTATCACAAACAAATAACTGAAAAGCATTAAACTTAAAAACACGTGGATATAACGATTGAAATAGGAATTAAAGGCCAAGTACTCCCACTCTTTCAGGGATACCACTTACAATAAAAATTCCCCGATAAAACAAACAGTGTAGATATCATGAGAACAAAACAAAGGTCAAAGAAATTAACCTGCAGCTCATATGTTGTCCTATAGGAAGGCCCAATACAGAAATGGGTGTAGGAAGAGCAAATTTGAACTTAGCAACATTGTGACTCAGTTGTGTTTTCTTGACAAGCTTGAACTCCTTGAAGCTATCAGGTTCCAAGCACACTAGTGGTTCACCAAAACAAGAAAGTCGAAAATCAAAAACCAACTAGATTTTATCTTAGGCAAGTATGTCGTCGTGTCTTCTAATTCACAACCAACGGAAAGTCTCCACCCAATATAGACGTTAGAGTTCCGTCTTCGATTTCAAATATATCATAATGGATGTGATATACAAAGTTCTAAAAAAAAAAAAAAACACTGAATGGAATTGAGAATCTTGACAGCATCATAACTCAGCGAAAAAAAGAAAAAAGAAACAGAATCAAATAGGAATTATTTATAATTCACAAATAGGACAGAGCCCAACAAAAATCATAACAAACTAAATTTAATTTACAAACACAGACATGTAATTGAATAGATAAAAATCCAATCTTTAAGCAAAAAGCAGCCATTCACGTGAATGCAACATATAGATCACCACATATTAAATTGAGCAGACCTTTGGGTTTCTTGGAGGAAAACAAGTAATAATAGGAAGCACCCACAACAATAATACCGACAGCGGCGGCAATAACAAATTGTCCTTCGGATGTTGCCCAGAAATCCATTGTCTCGGTAGACCTATTAACAGCCCTGAGCTGCCACCAGAAAAGAAATTGATAGGACTAACAAAAGAACAAACGGGCTGGGCTGGTGCTTATAAATTTAAGATCCCAGTATCTGATTGTCTCATTTCTCACGAATCAGATTAGAAACGAAATCTTCACATCATTAACAGAAATAATCTACCATAGGAAAGGGACTGAATCGAAAAACAATGGGGGTGCTTCTATTCTTTGTATGGTTTTACTTTTTTCTTGGTGAACAAGTACGTAAGGAAGAAGAAGAAGAAGAAAAATAGTTGTCATTCTATTTTTTTTTTTTTTTTATAATCGAATAATTTATATGATAATTCGACTAATGATCCGTTCATAGTTCATTTTAATATTTTATATACTTGATCCTCCAATAATTGTTTACTTGTATTTTTATAAATTTTAGCATCAAACTTGTTTTAAACCCAGTCATGGATAAACACAACAACTAGTGTATATCCTGTGCGATGCATGAAGATAGCTCATATTTTAAACCTCTTTTTAGACTTTATTTAAATATAATTTTTTATATTTTTCACATCTCGCTGTTAAGAAAATAAAAAGTTTAATATTCTGGTATGTATACTCGTAAGAATATATAATCTTACTTTTCAAAAATTTTGGCAAGTTGTTAATAAGATAAACTAGTACAACACCCGTGTATTACACGGGTGTTTGTTAAAAAAATTATTCTTAAATTTTAAAATTAATGAGAAAACTATATTAAATTTAGTTTATTTTTTTTAAAAAAAAATATATTACTATATATTTTAGAATGATATGTGTTACTTATGACTTACATGTGTTATATTATATTTGTTTTTATAACTTATAGCATATAACTACTTGAAATATAAATATATTAGTTGATAAATAATTTTATTTTTCTAATTAATTTTAAAAATAGTTTTATTATTGTTATTACGATAAATATAAATTATTTTTTTTATACATACATATGGATGTTAAATCGAAGCTCATCAAAAGAAGATTAATTTGATATATTACATATGTAAAACTGATAAAAAATACAAAA